ATAGCAGTTAAATTGTAAGTCAAGTAGAAAAATGTTTATAGATTGTTTCCATACATTAACATGCACCTCTTGCTAAATTTCGATGAGCTTGATTAGAATCAATGAGAATGTTTTACAGCAAAGCAAGCAATATTCTGAATAGCCAGTGACTAGTTCAAGCCATCTCTGGAAATAATCTGTATGCCTTTTTAAAAAAAAGTTAAATTAGTCCCTTTGGTTTAAAATTCAGACACCTTATCCAAGTTTTAACCTGACCCATGACTGCTTTACAGTAAGGGGGACTGTAGGTGCTGAACCCCCTTTTTACACTTCACCTGTCCATGTGCCCCATTCCAGGGGTCTCCAACCTTGGCAACTTTAAGCCTGGCGGACTTCAACTCCCAGAATAATTCTTCTGAATTTGCTGGCTGGGGAATTTGCTGGTTGGGGAATTCTGGGAGTTGAAGTCCACCAGACTTAAAGTTGTCAAGGTCGGAGTCCCCTGCCCCATTCCATCTCTTGCAGACTTGGCCACATTGGACAGCAAACTCTGAAGGCAGTTCTGCTTACAATCATTTCGATATGAGTAAAATCTTCCTTGCAATCCCACATCCTGTTTTATCTGTGACAGCAGTTGGGTGACCAAATGTAATGCAAAATATGAAACCAGAGAGAATGCAACAGGCATATGAGGATATCACAGAAGCAACCAAGTTTAGTGTTTATCTGCATGCAAAATGCTCTTTTTAGAATTATTTGTCCAGAGTTCTCTTTTCACAGCCAAGAGGGGGAAAGCAGCAGAAGAAGAACAGAGAAAGAGCGAAGCAGAAATGTATGAGATCAGTGTTCTGGCTCTTCTTTCAAGTTGTTATTTGTTTTATTTATATTATATGTTCAAGGTGGTGAACATTTCCAACACATCTTCCTCCCCTTATTTTCTCCCACAACAACAACCCTCTAAAATGGGTTGGGCTGAGAGAGAAAGTGACTGGCCCAAAGTCACCCAGCTGACTTTCATGCCTAAGACAGGACTTGAACTCATGGTCTCCTGCTTTCTAACTTTGTGCCTTCACCACTAAACCAGTCTGATTTTTTCTTTGGTTATGTGGGGAGTATGTGGGGAGGTTTGTATTAAGGCATCCATCCACATTTTAGGGATTGTTTTATAGCATAAGTATGTCATGATAAGCTCCATACCATCCCAACACAAGGAACATCATCATCATCATACATACATACATACAAACAAACATACATACATACTTGATAATGAAAGATCCAGAAAAGGGCACAGAACCAAGCAACTATCGCCCAATTACTTGTCTGCCAATAACATTCAAACCTTTTACAAGAGTACTGGCAAATTCAGTATTCAATCATTTGATGGAATACAGTTTATACCCAGTAAAACAAAAAGAAAATTACCAAAAATCAAGAGGAACAAAAGAAGCTGCTCATTGACAAAATGGTACTAAAAAAATGCAAAACGAAGAAGACCAAATCTGAATATGGCATGGATAGATTACAAGAAGGCATTTGACATATTACCCCACAGCTGGATTAACGCCTGTTTGGAAAACTTTGGAATCAGCAAAAATATTTGTACATTTTTGAAAGCAAATATGCAAAAATGGAAAAGAGTTCTAACAGCAAATGGGGAGAACATTGGTGAAGTCAACATCAGACAAGGAATTTTCCAGGGGGACTCAATTTTGCCACTACTGTTCAACATCACATTAATTCCACTGACAATAATCCTATGAAACACAAAATTGAGATACCAAATCTCAAGCCAACATGGCAAGATAAACCATCTACTATACATGGATGACTTAAAAATGTATGTGAAAAGCCCCACTGAACTTAAATCAATACTCAACACAGTTCAACTATTCAGCAGTGACATCAGAATGAACTTTGGACTTGAAAAATGTGCTATACTATCCATGCAACGAGGAAAAATGAAAAAAATAGAAGGAATAGAACTGGGAAATGGAAGCATCGTGAAAGCATTAGCAAAGAATGACGGTTACAAATACCTAGGCATATTGGAAGCAGATAATATCTTGAATGGAAAAGTCAAAGAGTCAACGTGAAAGGAATATATTAGGAGGGTCCATAAAATATTAAAATCAAAACTGAATGTTGGAAACATAATTAAAGCCATTAATACATGGGCAGTTCCTATGATATGCAACCCAGCTGGAATCATCAACTGGACTGTGGCTGACCTGGAAAATCTGGACCTGAAAACGCGTAAACTTTTGAATATGTATCACAAAGTGATACCAACAGGTTGTACCTGCCAAGAAGAACAAGGGGCAGAGGGCTATTGCAAATCCATCAAACTGTAGAAGAAGAAAAACGAAGTTTGAATGATTATGTGAAACAAAGAACAGAAAAATTGCTGTGAAAACAGAGATCATTATAAAAACAACAGAAACAAAGGCAGAATAGAAGGAAAAACAGTTGTATGATAGATTAAATGGATGGAAAACCAAAGCTCTGTATGGACAGCACTTGAAAAACATTGAAGGGAAGTGTGATGACAACTTGACATGGGCATGGCTTAAGAGGGGAACCATCAAGAAAGAAACAGAAGGTTTAATACTTGCCACTCAAGAACAAGCGCTACCAACTAATGCCATGAAAGCGAAGATACAAAAATCCACTGACAATCCAAACTGCCGACTTCACAACAACGAAGTTGAAACTGTTTCACACTTAATATGTGAGTGCAACAAAATTGCGCAAACTGATTACAAAGGTAGACATGATTGAGTTGCTAAATTAGTCCACTGGTCATTATATAAAAAAATATGACATACCTGTATCCGAAAAATCATGGAAGCACAAAGTGGAAAAAGTTATCGAAAATGAGACAGTCAAGCTCTTTTGGGACTTTCGAATACAGACAGATCGTCATTTGGAACCCAACATGCCAGATATCACAGTTGTCAGAAACTGAAATGTACAATTTATTGACATCGCGATACCAGGAGATGCCAGAATCGAAGAAAAAATCTGGAAAAAATCACGAATTATCGCAACCTGGCCATCAAAACTACATGGCTATGGATAAAACATGTACCAGTGATACCCATTGTCATTGGGGCACCTGGTACCATCTACAAGAATTTTATTGGATACATCAACAAATTCCAGCTTCCTGCAATAACACCAGCGGAACTGCAAAAAACTGTTCTACTTGGAACATTGTACATCTTAAGAAGGTACTTGGTTGATATCTAGGACGCTGGCAGCAACCGGTATCAACCATTAGCACCAGTCAATGGTATTTGTGATGCATTTTTGAATGTTCAGTTGACTGAGTTTCATGTTTAATGAATAAAGTAAATAATAATAACAATAATAATAACAACACTGATCCCAAACATAGAAGGATGGCAGCCATTCTCATGTCTTGATTACTTAGTATTACTGCATCTTTTCCAGCCAGAAGCTCTAAGGACCCAGAGTTGCTTCTAAGTAGAATATTTTTTGTAAAGCTACATTGCCTCCACTTTTTTCCCCACAATGAGATTTATTCCCTCCGTGGGCAAAACCAGAGATCTTTCTAGGTTTTAACATGCAGATGTGGGATTATGATGAACAAAGTGAAAAATGAGTTTTCTCACATTTAGGGTCAGCTAAAAGACCCTAGGGATGACAGAGAATGAGGTGGCTGGATGGAGTCACTTAAGCATTCGGTGTGAGCTTAAATGGACTCCGGGGGATGGTAGAGGACAGGAAGGCCTGGAGGAACGTTGTCCATGGGGTCGCGATGGGTTGGACACGACTTTGCAACTAACAACAAGAAGACCCTTATAAACTTTTTGGCATGAAACAGAAAAAAATGCATTTGTGGTTTTGATGATTGGGAAAAAAATTAGATAATAGAAAAGAGTGGAGGGTGGGGTTTTTTGGGTTTTTTTTTTTTTTTTGTAATCATAGAGTAAGAGATAATTTAGTGTTTGTACTTATATATTTGCTGCAAAGGAAATCAGAAATTTCTTTCTGGTTTTTTTTCTTTTTAATTTTTTTTCTGCACTTTTGCTTTTTTCAGTTTTTAACTTTCATTACTGCTTCTGCTCTTCATTACTTTCTGTTCGTTTTTATGTCTTTTGTAAAACTTTAATTTTAAAAAAAATGTACAAAGAAAAGTGCAATTTTCCCTTATGTGTTCAAACTATAATCACTGACCAGCACTTTATATAATTTTTGTGAGAGGTTACATTATTCTTTATGCATTTAAGTGATCAGTTCAGTTCAGATTGTTATTGTTTTAATGCCAATTTCTCTCTCACTCATGGCAAATATGGTCTTAGAGCACAAATTGAACGCACATAACAATACTCTTGGTTTAGATTATATTGTCAGTTATCATGGCAAGGAGTTATTAATAAGTTCTTAATAAAGTCCTGGGGCTGTCTGAAGCTTTGGAAAGAGGTTTCACAAAAGTTGGTAGAAAGGAAGTCTCCTTCTTAAACATTAGAGCAGCCAGATATTTTGACCCAGCTGCTGCCAGGTTTTTTACCCATTGTCTCCATGTATAACTGCTGCATTTCATTGTCAAATCCTAGCAGAAGAATTGTGACACACACAACCAGGCAAAGTCTTTGCAGCACCTGGACCAAGCCGTCTAGAGAGTGTAACTCTTTAAGCCTTCACACAGATACTTCGTACACCACACTCTTTGCAGATCCACCCTTTCAAATCTTCCCTAATTCATTTATAATGACTGAGAAAAATATTAATTGATATAATGCCAAGCTCATAAATAGCATCACAGATAATGAAGAAGGTCAATTTCATTCTAGCATCTCCCCCTCTCCCTTGTCTCATTTTTCTCTCTCCTTAAAAATGTTGTTGGAGCCATATGTAATTTTCTGTCTTGAAAATACACAAAACACCCCAAAAGAATTTAGGAATCGGGATAGGAAGTTGCTTCTTTGCTCACTATAGTGAGGTCACTGCTAGAACTTTCTTTGGGTTCTATTTACCTAGTTGCATTTTATCTCTATGGGAGAGAGAACTAACAGCTAAAACCAATAATTCTAGAAAAAAAGTTAAGCAGAACGGAGCATTCAGTGAAAGTTTGGAGTAAGTGGAGAGGGTAGAAGCCAAAAGGAACTATAGTGAAGTAAGTAAATTCTAAATATAAAGAATTGTATCAAGAATGATAGCTAAGATAGGTTGAGGGCTTCAGATTTGGACAAATACAATACAAAATCACATACATTGAGATTCATATGTTGGGTCAAAGCAGGATTTTATTAAGCACCCTAAACCAAAATCTGAATCATCATGAAAGTTCAGTGATTCAGCAAGTTAATGAAACATGGAACAACATTTAGTATATGTCTGAAAAGTACATTTATCCTGCCTCTCCAAATACAGAAAACTGGGGAGGCAGAAATAAAGTTGTTTGACTTTTACAGGCACTCAAAATTTTAATAGATTCTCCACATAAAGCATATGAGGGGAGGTAGGTGGCAGAGAATGATGTTGACAAAATATATTTTGCAGGATTATTTTAAAATCCAATTTTCCACCAGTCCTCAATTTAAGGAACAGGAACGGCAAGAGTTTTGATTTAATGGGATTTGTGAGGATTCAGAATTAGGTACTTACTTTAAAATGTTAGGTGTTAAAATATTTTCAATTCTGGGAACAATGCCTTGAAGCTAATTGAGCAGAAAAAAATCCATGAGAAATTCTTTACTCTTTGGTTTTTGCCTTTCTGAAATTTGCAGATGTCTTGCTTATGATGCCATCAACATTCAGACTATCTCAGTACAAAAAAAATATGCTGGCTTTCTGAGTTTTCTTTCTGTGTGCCATCTTTCAGATCATGAGACACTTACAGAAGAAACGTAAGCCAAGGATCGGCTTCAGATCCTCAAGGAAGAGTTCTTTAGTGAAAACAATGCAACAAAATGGAGCCAAAAATTCAAAGTGCACCATCTGTTTAACAATGATCCAAGACCCAACTTACTTGAACCCTTGCAACCACCAGTTCTGCTTCAAATGTATTCAGAAGTGGTCCAGAAAGAAAGTTATTTGTCCATTGTGTAAGCAGCGTTTCTATTCATTCTGCCACACTATACGCAGAAAAGACGCCTTTTGCGAATATGTCCTGCCTTTGAATGGTAGCTCTTTTTCTCCTTCTGAAAGCAAGGAAGACTGCACATCAGCCTCCTCTCAAAGACTTACATCAGCTCCTGACAATGGAATCGTGCATAATGTAATTAGTGGAACATTAACTCAAAGAGAGAAGGATATTTATCAGCTCATGAGACAGTTTGCAGTTACAGAGAGACCCAATGATATTGATTTAATCAGCCTTGGGAAATTTAAAGCCCAAGCAGTAATTCAGTTTAGGAGAACTCTTTACCATGCAGGGATTCTAGTTCAAAACGCTCCAAATCCAGATTTCAATCAAACATCTTCAGCAGAATTTTTTGGCAGAAATCCTCAATGTTTGGACAGGGTGATCCCTTGGCTAAAACGAGAATTAAAAGTGCTGTTTGGTAGGAGATCAACGATTCATACTTTGCAGAATCTCATCCTAAGTAACCTTATTCATCATGATCTGGACAGCAAAGAATTTGAAGCTATTTTACAGCCCCACATGCACCGTTTCACTCGACATTTCCTGCATGAGTTCATGAGTTTTGTCCAATCCTCATTACATCTGAAGAGGTATGACTGGTGTGCCTTGTACGAATGCCCTGCAATATTGAAAGAGACTGATCCTTTAACTTCTTCTCCATCTTCAGAAAATGAACATCTGCAACGTCCTGAAAAAAGTCAGGTGCCCAAACCCAATGCTAGTTTAGATTATGGAAACCTAGCATTCTTGCTTCCTGATTCAGAGAAAGCCCTTCCTTCCACATTTGCTACAGCAGATGATAAAAATGATTCAATGAATGAAGAAAATTATATGGATTTGTCCAACAAAGATACTGAAAAGGGGATAGCTACAGCCTTTCGTATTATTAAAAATATACTGCTTAAGACACCTTCAGAGGAAAAAGTACAGGTCCCTGGATCTCTCTCTCACTCCCACCTATTTCAAGGACAGAAAGAAAAAAAGGGCATGGTAGAAATAAATCCTGTTCAGATTCTTAGGCCAACGGATATGGAAACAGGTAAAAACGAATTAGCATTGGTAGACGATGGTGCCTTTAAGATTTATCACAAAAATTCTGCTAACATCATCACAGTGAAGAAATTGGGCAAAAAAGATACAACAAAATGTCAATCCTCTGAGGTTTCCATAAATAAATTAAAAGAATATTCTATGGCATGGTCAAAAACACTGTCTCCCAAAAGAAGAAGTGTACATAAAAATCGTGGATCAAAAGGTAGCATAGAATGCAAATTTGACAAAGCATGTTCTGCTTCAAAAGAAAGACATGGGGGAAGAAACAAAGCAAAGTATCTACATGATGAGAAGAAAGGTAGAAACTATTCCAGAGACAGGAGACATAGACGAGATCAAAGAAAATCAAAGTCTAAAGAAGTAAGTTTGCTTCACAAGAGCCCTCTGCCTGTAAGAAAAAAAAGCACTGAGGCTAGAGACACTCACAAGTCAAAATCACAGAACATTCATCACAAAAGAAAAATGAAGAACAAAGATTCTGAACATCTAGGAAGTGGAAGTTCCAGTGAACCCAACCAGAATTGTCTTTACACCAAAGTTAGGCATGAAGAACCACCGTGCAGAAAGGGTAAATCAGACATATTATGTGATCCAAATCCATCCACCAGTTCTGGGCAGAAGCCATTTTTTTTCTCCAGAAAATAAAATCTTAGTCAATCAAAGACATCTAACCAAATACTGGTAATTCTCATCAGGCTGATGCAGATGTTTGAAGAGACCTAAAGGTAGGATTGTTGTAGGATGACAGAGAAAGTTTAGTTTGGTAAACTAGATAGCAAGCCAAAATATAAGTTAATGCAATTGGAAGGTGATCTCCCAAAGAGTGGTGAAGATTTATCCGCAGTGATACAAACAGCTAAGATTTTTAATATCAATCTCAACCCAATTCGAAGACCAATATGAAGGCAAAGCTACAAATGAAATAGACAAACCTTAATAAGCATGTATGTAAATAATGGGAGGCTCCAGCTTGCTCTCAAAGCAAGAGACCATCAGTGAACACAGGATAAGACAAGGAAAAGAAGTATTTGTCTTTTTCTAAGCAGGACATTGCCTTTTAGATCTTAAAAATAAAGATATTTGTATATTATGCTTGTGATTCATTTTTCCCCCTCATGATTTCTTTCAAAAACCATTTATAGATTAGGGGTAGGTAGAAAATTGCCAACACACACACACTAGAACCACAGTGAGGATTCAGTTCCATTAAAGTTATCCCAAACTAACTGATAACTATCAGTTGAATTCTATCCATTTATGGGAATGCTCTAAAGGACTTCTTGCAAAGCAGCATTTACAAATGGATGCAGCTATTTCTTCACACATTCTGAATACTCATACAACTGTGGAGAAGGTGAATATGCCCACCCCTAACATCCTATTTGAATCTCAGCACAGGTCCTTTTCTCTGAGCAGAAAAGTACCAGCAGATGGTGTGAGCAATGGATCAAGGACCAGGACCTGGAAGATGGAGGTTCAAGTCCCATCCGTGGAAATGTACAAACTGAATAACTTTGGACCAGTCTTTCTTTCAAACCCCAAGTATTTTATTATTTTAGTGTTCTAGGCATAAACTGGTGGATGGAATCCTATGCATGTCACCTCAAGGACCTGAAGGAAAGATGGGGTAGAAATCTGAGAAATAAAATAAACATGCAGCTTCTGATTCAGGAGTTGGGTTTAGAGATCACAGGGTCACAGCTGGTGATCGTATAGAACATAATTTTGGCATAAAATTATAACAGCGTAGTAGGTTTTTAAACTTCCATCGCTTACAACATCAAAAGCCACCTGTATCATATTAAGTTCCGTAGAGAGATAGAGAAAGAGAAAGTTTTTACATAACTCAGCATATGAAATAGGGATATCCTATTTATGTTGAATTATGTACAATCTCTCTTTCTCTCTCTTTCTCTTTTTCACACACACACACACACTCCAAGTTAATAATTATTCAGGTAGTCAGAGGTGGGCTGCTGCCGGTTCTGACCGGTTCGGGCAAACCAGTAGTTGCGATCAGTGGGTGGGCCAGCTCACCTGCCCTGGTGCTATCCTGTCCTATATCGCCATGTTTTTGTAGCCGCATGCATGTGCGGAAGGCGCACTCACATTTTCGGTGCCAGGTGAACCAGTTGTTATATTATGTGATGCTCACCTCTGCAGGTAGTCTTCAGTTAATGACCGTAATTGGCCATAACTGACAACTCTATTGCTAAGTGACACAGTGGTAAAGTGAAGAAATGTGACTCTGCTGACTTACAACAATAGTTCCTGTAGTTGTGGTTGCTAAATGAATTGTGCACGGACATTAAGTACAACATCACATGGCTGCATAATGTAAGAAAGACCTTGAGAAAAGGGACAAAGAAATGCTACTTACGAAACGATCGGATAAGAGAGGATACAGCCTGCAGCTGCATAACAGTCGGAGAGAAAGGCTCAGAAGGGATCCCCCCCACAATCTTCTCAAGCTGTGAAAGAAACAGTGACAGATTTGAAAGAAAGATTGTTGTGTTTTTTCAAGTATACCAGACCAAAAACGGACCAGGTGAACTATTTATATTTTATTTTAAGACTGCATTAACAGAATCTTGCAAGGGCCCAAATTGTGCTTGCAAATTGGCAAGCATCTAAATTGCAATCACATAATTGTAGGGTGGCTGCAACGTCTGCAACTACAAGAACGGTCCTAAGTCTCCTCATTCAGCTCCATCATAATGCTGAATGAGTGGTCACCAAATGAGGACTGGCTGTAAATTACAGCAAAACTATCTGTTAAGTAAGGTTTACATTTATTAACTGTTACTCATGTGCCTCTAGCAACTATTCATACTCAGACACAAATCACTCTAAGAAGAATTTGAGTAAACAAGCATACACAGACAAATTAAAAACTCCCTTTTTTATAATCCTGTAGGACAGTGATGGGTTGCCCCCGGTTTGCACCAGTTCTATAGAACCAGTAGTAAAACTGGCGGGAGGCTCCGCCCACTGACCCTGACATCATCAAAATGCTTCTGCGCAAAAGCTTCTGCGCTTGCGCAGAAGAGTGCACGCACAGGCACAAGCAGCCCCATTGTGAACTGGTAGTAAAGGTAAGTAGAACCCACCCCTGCTATAACCCCTATTCAGAGTAGGATCTGGGCAGCTGGATGCAGCTGAGCGTTTACTGGCTGGATGCCCTTCCTGGCGCCTATGCAGAGTTTGCAGCAGATATTTTTTCTTTGTGCCCTGGGAGAGAAACATATGCTGCTACGTAGGATTGAACTCTCAACCTTCTGAGTGGAAGGCAAGCATCCTCACCACTAGGCCACCATGCCACTCAAGCATATGTACACAAATAAATATACATAATCATACCCCCCTATTTTTTTTCCCCCTGAGGAGGAGAAGGCGGTGATTACTACCATAATCCATTCCCCTCATCTCCCCAGGATGAAAGTTAGATAAGAAAGGAGAAAGAGAAATATCAACTGAGAAGGGAAGGAAAGAGAAATATGTGGGACAAAACTGGACCAAGATCATTAGAGTAAGAAGACAGGAAATGAAAGGAGAGAGGAATAAATCCTATGTTAAATACTCCAGGCAAAGACCCTCTACCCTTGTAAAAAATAATGTTCATGTTTATGTTTAGATCGGGTGCAGCCATTTTGTTAACTCCTTTGTCCTTGACACAATCTATTTATGCTGGTATAAATAGCTTCCCCCATCTCTCAATTCAATTCATCTGAGAGAGAAAACCTCATCTCTTTTGGCTGAGTGACTGCACTTCATCACAGTTGATGGAGCCAAAATGTTTAAATTTTATGAGAACTACAATGCTCAGAAAAGGAATAGCAAAAAGTTATGGACCTAGTCCAGTCTTATACAGCTAGGCCTCACTTATGACCGGTTGCTTAGCAACTGTTTGAAGTTATGATGGATCTTCCCAGAGCTGCTTACAACCTGCTTTTTAAGTTCTGATGGCCACCTGTCTCCCCACAGTTATACGATTGCATTTTGGGTATTGTTATGTGACCAGGATTTATGACATTTTTGGCTGGAAACCAACATTTATTTCTGTTTTCTGGCCAAAAATGCCCATTTAGTATTAAAAACAAAATGCAGACTATAGGAATCAGGAGCACTACTCAGGTGATCCTGAGGATACAGATAAACCTCCAAGTGCTTCAACGACCCTCTATAAGGATGCAAATGACCAGCTGTCTGCAAGGAATATAAATCCTTCCATTCCCCACTATCTTGTCAGAGCTGAAGAAGCTTCTTGGGTGAGAAGCGAAACATCTTCAAAAGAAAAAACAACAACAAGAAAGTCCAGTTGCCTCCTGAAAAAGCATCCTTGGGACATTTATTATAATGGGTTCACTTAACAACATGACTGCTTCCAAAAAGGTCATAAAATCAGGCACAGGCATGTGTTGACCCACTTAATGACCAACATAACTTACAATTGTAATTTTGAACCTAGAAATGGTTGTAAGCCAAGAGTAAGTGATATAAATATATCATAGATTGGATTTTCCCTGGGGGCAGGGTGGGGGAGGGGGAAAGGTTTATTTCTGAGAAGTTCTTCTCACAAGATCTACCATTAACATTGGTTGCCTTTTTAAAATTTGTTTAGAATTTCTGTTATTATTTTCCTATACTATCCTATATTTCCTATTGTCAATGACAAATCAACCAATGCACCAATATTCTAGCCAACATTTTCCATCCTTCCCACTTTCTACTTACCAGGGAAAATTTCTGCTTACTGAGAAAAATATTCGTCAACACAAAATAATAACAGAGAAAAACGCAATCTTTTTTTTATTATTATTACCAAAAAGAAATATATTTTTTCCTGAAACAAAATGTTGTATGAGACATTTCTAATTATCTGTTTTGAAATACCAGCTCTGCAAGGGATTTTAAACATTTAGACAAAAATTCAGAAGTTATGTCTTAACAGCTGCATATTATATACAATATATACAGTATTTGTCCACAAAGTCATGGACAATCATCAGATATATTGTTATTCATATAATGCTTTTTCTGGACAGTATCTTTTAGTTCTAAGTTCCATTCAGCTAATATTCAGTAAGGACGAGTAAGAAAAGAGACTTCAGTGTCTATTGATAAGTAGTTCATATGGTGCATATAATGTACATTAGTGATTGGCTATTTATTTCAGAGTATTATCATCAAACCAATCAATGTTTAATTACAGCACATTCAACTTTATTGCCTGTGTAATTCTGAGATAACAATAAGGAAATCAGACTCATTGCAGAACTTCTGCTGACTAAAATATTTTTTCATCAACTGTAATTAATTTAATAGCTACTATTCAATCTTAAAATTAAAAACTTATTTGTAGCACTCCATTTCACTTGTAAACATTTTTAGCTTGAATGACCTGGGCTTTAAGCAAATTTGCATTAAACTTTTTTTTTTTAACCAATTATTCAAAATCTGGATTATAAATACCAAAAATTGTTCTCTTACTTGACATACTTTATAGAGCCTTGGTGGCGCAGCAGACTAAAGTGCTGTTAAGTAGCACCATCTGCCTGCAATTACTGCAAGTTCAAATCTCACCAGGTTCAAGGTTGACTCAGCCTTCCATCCTTTCGAGGTAGGTAAAATGAGGACTCGGATTGTGGGGGCAATAAGCTGACTTTATATAAAAAAGAACACCGCTGGGGGGGGGGGCGAAAGCCCTACTAAGCAGGTATATACAAAAAGTATGAAGGCTATTGCTTAACGCATTGTAAGCCGCCCTGAGTCTCCGGAGAAGGGCGGCATATAAATCGAACCAATAAATAAATACATCCTCTCCAGCTAATCTGTGCCTTTCCTCTGAGAACACTAAGTTTCTGACATGACTTGAAATAACCAGTGCAAGTCTTATGGAAATGTCTTCATATAAGTCTCTGATTAGGAAACGCTGATGGATGTACAATTTTGCATGATTTGGTTGAGAACGTTGATTCACATTGGCAACTGCCATTAGCCTTATTTGAGTTCTCTTAAGAAACTTTTTGAGTTCTAGAAAGAAATGTACAATTTTGGGAAAGGAAGAACTGTCCCTGCCACTGAACCATC